TATAAAAATGTTTTGAAACAATTTTGTTTTACCGTGTAATTTTATGTTCAAACTGTTTTGCCTGTCGCCACTTGCGTATGCATTCCAAACAGAAAATGTGGTTACAATTCGGCAATATTCCAAAACGTTTCTCTCTTCCAGCTTTTTCCATTATTGTGTCGAAGCAAATACCACAAGTTTTATCTTTGGAGCGGGCAATAGCAAATGACCACTCCATGGCTTGTTCATGCTGCTGTAAACAATCTTGATTGTGCTTGCGGCGTTGCGTTTGATCGCTTGGATGTAAACAAAATTGGTCGCACATTTTACAAAGTTCCATGTGAATGCCATAAGCACAATATGCGCCGTACGGACAGGGTCCCTCAAATGGACATTCCATTTCAAGCATGGCTTCAGCATCATTTCCTTCAATAATGTTTGTACTTTGTGCCACATTTCCACCACCAACAACATCTGCCCAAGATTTTTGTATTTCATTGTTCATTGGACATATACTCGTTGCACCTTCATTAGTAGAAATGTCAGCAACTTCTTCAGACGGGTATGTTGGTCGATAACTTTTCGGCACGAAGACTGGAGCATTTATCCAATTATGTCGACTAGTGCTAGGCCGAACATTTGGAWATTCTGTTGTGATTTTCTTGTTGTTTGTTGAAGAAGTTGTAGGATTTAGGACCTCGGTTTCATTACCACTGTTGTTATTTGCTTCTCCGTCAGTAAGAACGTGAGAAAAACGGCACGAACTTCCATAATGGCATATTCCACGTTGAAAATAGCGACAAATAGGTGGATTCACCATCATAATTGGTTGTGCTCTCGACATAGCTGTTGCACCTTCATCTACGTTGAGATTAGCCATCATAGGAGATAAACCAGCAGCAATAGTACCACCAAATCCACCTGATGGCACAAATGCAGCGGAGGCACTCATATTAATTTTACACTTTAATTTTCAAATAAATCCGCACAATTGAAAGAATTACTTAGAATGTGGTAACGTGAACACACCTTCAGCAGCACTTCAACGTGGTTTTACTTTCRCAGGGTTTGAATGGACGTTAAATTAACAAAGCCAAAGGCAAATGAATTCCCAATTATTTTTTTGATTCTCTTACAAAGTTTTTGTTTTTTAATTCCTTTTTTTTTATAACTGATGCTGCATGTTCCGCCAAGCGTCCTTTATCTYTTTCTTTGTCCTTTGACGACTCTGAAATAGACAGGTCACAAAAGGGTTGTCTTTGCTTTCAAGATACTCTGTCTACCTGCAAAACAAAAAAAATTGCATAAAAATTATTCTAACGGTCAGCATCTCTTGTTGATGTCTTTAAATTATTATTATTATTTTTTTTTTTTTTTTTTTATATATATTTAAAGTGTTATAAGGAATTTAAAGGAAATGCTAAAACCTATTGGAAAAGGTAAATAAAAGTCTAAAATATCATAACTATAAAAAAATATAAAAAAACAAAGAATTTTATACTAGCAAATTGTAACACATTTGTCAATAACGTTTCCCTCGATAATTCCAACAGCTGTCATTTTTTCAGTCCTGCCAAATCTTTGATAAACAYATTATATTGGCAAAGCAATACCACAGAGAATACACATCTGGCCGTGAAAATCTTATCCTAGCCTTAAACAAAACAAATACTTGTTCGAATTAAAATATAAACAATAGAATATAAATAATAATGTTAGCATATTGAATGCATAAGTTAAATGCAAATTTTTAATCACTTTCTATATTGCTTTACTTAAAATCTAATTTTCTCATATAGTACACTTTTTAAGGCGCTGAAGTTGGACGTCCTATTTCGCATAGACAATTTTGTGACTGAWGAATTCAAAGTACAAATATTTTAAAAGCCTTAAATTTGGAGCTTCATGGTCATAAAACACACATTCTACATAACTACACTTCTGATGCACAAGCGATAGTTACATCGATTTCACAATTTTTGTTGATATGCAAATGAACGGATAAGTGACCAATTATATTAATTTTCACGAAGCTCACCTCTTTAAACCAATATCCAAACTTATCGAAAAGTTTTGAAAATATTCACACAATTTGCGTCTTTTCTACAAACGCTTAGCAAGTCTTTTGCTTTCCACTGACGTCTACCACAGACATGTAGATAATGCTGCCAGATATACAAATAATTGGCAGTGCTTTTGGCCTGGGTTGACAAGTATTTAATAAACAATAGATAATCTAAATTGCCAWAGAAGAAAAGAAACACAATTAATTCTTTAATTTTATTTAGAGGCACGATATTTTGATTTTTGTACAAAAAAGTTGTGGTTTCTTTAATTAAAACCAGAGAACGTATATAAATATACGATACTGTATACAGAAAACGTCTACAGAGAACGTTTAATATAAATTAGTGCTTCATTGTCGGCGCTGATAATGTTTAATATAAATTAAACGTTCTCTGACGTCTATCATAGAGAAGGAGATCTAAAAGAGATATAAAAATATAGACGTTATCTGATATAAATAYACGTTCTCTGTTAAAACTTTCCCTTAGCCTGTAGATGCCGCTACTGGTAGCTCTAATGCAACTCTGGTGAAATCCTGCAATGCGATGCCAACTATTAAAATATTTCATTACACTCGGCCATTTTGGTCCAAGTCACCGTCGTTTGCATACGTTTTGTGCTTTGGTAGGTTTTTAAATCGGTAAAAATAGAAGGCATCTTATTTTATAACAAATAATTCACTTTGCAAATACATATTTCAAACTCTCAACCACCAAAATAATGGACTCTTTATACATTACAGTTCTTAAATTCTTTTCACGAGTCCCTAATTACACAACTTGATTCAAGATGGTTAGGGAGAACAAAGCCGCCTGGAAAGCTCAATACTTCCTTAAAGTTGTCGTAAGTATTTCTCAAGTAACAACAAAGATTTTGAAGTTAATCCAATGATGATAAAATTTTACGTCTGAATGTGTATCGCCCGGATGTCTTGCTTGAAAAAGCTGAACCCAGACATCCTGGTACACGTTAGGTTTGACAAAATTACGTCTGAGTCATTGTATTAAAAACAGAATTTTTTTTTGTTTTTTGCATATGGATTCACCTACTAAATTGTGTACTCCAATTTGCAGGAACTCTTCGACGAATATCCCAAGTGCTTCATTGTCGGCGCTGATAATGTCGGCTCAAAGCAAATGCAAAACATCCGTACTAGCCTGCGTGGATTGGGTGTTGTGCTCATGGGTAAGAATACTATGATGCGCAAGGCTATCCGTGGTCATTTAGAGAACAACGCTCAATTGGAGAAATTGCTGCCACACATCAAGGGCAATGTCGGTTTCGTATTTACCAAGGGCGATTTGGCTGAAGTTCGTGACAAATTGCTTGAATCGAAAGTGCGTGCACCTGCTCGTGCTGGTGCTATTGCTCCTTTGCCAGTCGTGATTCCAGCACAAAACACTGGTTTGGGTCCCGAGAAAACTTCTTTCTTCCAAGCTCTGTCGATTCCAACCAAGATTTCCAAGGGTACAATTGAAATTATCAATGATGTACCTATTTTGAAACCAGGAGATAAAGTTGGTGCTTCAGAAGCTACTTTGCTTAACATGTTGAACATTTCGCCCTTCTCGTATGGTTTGGCCATAACCCAAGTGTACGACTCCGGTTCCATTTTCTCACCTGAGATCTTGGACATCAAGCCCGAAGATCTGCGTGCGAAATTCCAAGTTGGTGTTGCCAATTTGGCAGCCGTATCGTTATCGATTGGTTACCCAACTATTGCTTCGGCACCACACAGTATTGCCAATGGTTTCAAGAATCTGTTGGCTATTGCTGCTGCCACCGAAGTGGACTTCAAGGAAGCTGCTACCATCAAGGAGTTCATCAAGGACCCCAGCAAGTTTGTTGCTGCTGCTGCTGCCTCTGCTCCAGCTGCTGGTGCTGGCGCTGTTGCCGAAAAGAAGGAAGAAGCCAAAAAGGAGGAGTCGGAGTCCGAGGAGGACGACGACATGGGTTTCGGTCTCTTCGACTAAACAACTCAACACTAAAGTTGATATTACACTTATCTCAGGTGTACGGTTATTTGGATTTTATAAAACTTTTGGAAATGTTAATAGTAGTACGTACCGTTCTAAAGTATACTGTAATTTCTTGAACGCTCGCATTTGGGTTAGTAAATTATTGTCGTGGTCTGACACACCCAATGGCAAGTTACCGACTCAAAACGTTCGTTATCTAATTGTATTCTGAATATGTACACCCGAATAAAGTTGTAATTTAAATAAGAAATTTGTTACTCAAGAATTTATATTAAGGATTTGGCGAATTGCACGTACATTGACAAGAGCCTAATTAACGGAAGCGGTTGTGACACAGTTTAGGCTAGCAACATTAGAAGTAATTTCGGAATAAAAGGGGTTGGCAATAATTCCGGAAGTTCAACAGAAAGAGTTATTAATATGAATTATTTTGTGGAAATTTAACCAAGGAAAGTTTCGTTTCGATAATACTCCAATTTGTATTTCAAATTACTTGACACATTTATTCTACTGTATTTCCTGTAGTATTGTTCTTTTAGACACGCTTTACTACGGAAGTGAGAACAAATTTACACTATTATAATAAAACAATGCACTTTTAGATTTCTATTTCGGCAAAAATGATTGTATATATTTGTATAAGGACACTTTGTATTACAATATATGTTATTTATAAAGTATTGAACATCTTAACATTTGCTTTAATGATAATTTACATGGCCGTCAAAACGGAAACACAGATATATGCTCATGCTTAAAAAGTAGCAGTCATAATACAATAGGGACTTTAAATATTTTTGTAAATAAACAGAAAACAATCAAACAACAAATTAACTGGAGGTTCTATACAAAAATTGCTGCCCTCAAGAATGACGACGAATAACGAAGACATTAATATGTGATATCAATTGTATCCTGAATAGGATTTCCCCATTCACGAGCTACGATCATAATCTCGTTCATGGTTAGTTTAGGTCCGATAAGTGGATTCATTTGCGTCATATAACAACATAGCCAGCTATATTAAAAAAATATATATTTATTTGGTATTGTAGAAATTTTTGTTTTCTTTATAGATACTTACAATAGCCAACAGGTGGAAGCTATCAACATTAAACAACATTGGGTGACTCTATAAAAGAATAAGAATATATATAGTTCGTATTATAGCATCATATTTTACTGTAAAATTAACTCACCCTTTGTTAGGTCCACGAGCCAAAAAGGGACAAATTATTCCAATGAAGCCCCAAATGCAAGTGATTATGATAGGTGCCAGCCATGGGGAAACCATTTTCCACTATTTTAAGACGTAATACTGTTAATTTGAAAATAGTTTACGCTAGTTAATTTGCGAAAATCTATTCCAAATAAATTGTGCACTACGTAGGAAAATATCTAAAAGATACACGAAAGTGGCAAATGACTTTTCCAGCTTAACAAATGTCACATGACCAGACATGGGACTTCATATTCACAGCTGTTCAATTCAGCAAAGTGCTTAATAAAAGGTGCATGGTTGCAACTACAGAGCAATTATTTATATTTGTTTTTTCCTTAAAAATATTTCTTTTGAGTGTTCAATAGTTTTGAACATTTTTGAGACAGTTCTCACAAATGCTAAAAAAACATTGGTATTGTGGAAACATGAAAATAATATATGTGACAACTCGGTTTTGTGTTGGTGTTCAACTTAGGCTTATACTGAACTGTAGTATGTAGCTAGCATTTTCATTTATAAGTTCATTAATTGAACATACGCCCTAACAATGTCAGCTGGATGAGTTTCAATTACAGTTCAGTGGAATAGTGACAAGCAAAATTATTAAAAATGGTTTTGGAAAGTACTATGATATGGTAAGCAATTTTAAAGAATTTATTAAAAAATTCGAATAATTTCTTAGATGTTTAAACAAAACGGGAATGAATACTTACTTTGTGGTAAAATTTATCTGTTTTAGTTTTAGTTTTAGCTCAACCAATGCAAAATTTTGATTGCGGCTTAATGTACCTGTGTATTACGAAGCACTTTTATTGTTTTCTTTTTTTTTTTTACCCCTTTAGTTTCGACAATAGTGATTACCAAAGAAATGGTGATTACTTTCCGACACGTTTAAATGTCCAGAAAGATGGTATCAACCTGGTTTGCCTGACAAAAGTGCGATCTAATCCAGAGAATAATGTTGGCCTGATGACCATATCCAAGTATATAAGCTATTTACATTATTAAGATATTCGCAATCATTAATATAACTCTTTCTATGTGTAGCACCGTTGAGGTTCTTGCAACCCTTACAAGTGATGTAGGACGTATTTTTTCAAAGATGCATTTAATACAACCAAAAGGAGAAATCAATTTACTCACTGGTATTCGTATTGCGCATGTAAGTTATTTGCGGCAATTGAAATTTTTAAAATATATAATTTTACTTTGCAGTTGGTTCTCAAGCATCGTCAAGGCAAAAATCACAAGATGCGTATTGTTGTGTTTGTGGGTTCACCAATAAATAATGAGGAAGGTGAATTGGTAAAACAAGCCAAACGTTTAAAAAAAGAAAAAGTAAACGTCGATATTGTCAGTTTTGGAGACCACGGAAACAACAATGAAATTTTAACTGCTTTCGTTAACGCAATAAATGGAAAAGATGGTACGGGTTCCCATTTAGTTAGCGTACCTCGAGGCTCTGGTTTATCCGATGCATTGTTATCCTCGCCAATAATACAAGGTGAAGACGGCATGGGAGGGGCAGGTTTGAGTGGTGCTGGTTATGAATTTGGTGTTGATCCCAATGAAGATCCGGAATTGGCACTTGCTTTACGTGTATCCATGGAAGAACAGCGTCAACGCCAGGAAGAAGAACAGCGTCGGGCTCTTTCCGAATCAAATACTGCAGGAAATACAGAAGCGAATGCTGGCAGTGCCACAACAGGTTCCGAGAAAACTAGCACAAATGTTGGTACTACTCTTGAAGAGCCGAATTCTGAAGAAGCAATGTTGCAACGTGCTTTGGCATTATCTACAGAAACGGTAATGTCGAAATCATTGCATTATATATTTGTTATTGAGTATAGGGTTCCCTTTTTCTTTTTGAATACAGCCAGAAGATAACTTGCCTGATTTTGCTAACATGACTGAAGAAGAGCAGATAGCTTTTGCTATGCAAATGTCAATGCAGGATGCAGGTTTGTAAAGTGGAAAAATTTTGAAAATATATATWTATTAAATATTTGTTTTTATCCTTTTCATTTATTTGCTTTAGCTGATGAGACCGTAACTCAACAGGCCAAACGTCCTAAAACRGAGGAAAATCAACCAATGGATGTCGATGAGGACTACTCCGAAGTAATTGGTGATCCAGCATTTCTACAGGTAAATATATCATATGGTACTAATTGTTATGATCTAAACAATCTCTTTAGAGTGTTCTAGAAAATTTACCTGGCGTCGACCCACAATCAGAAGCTGTACGCGATGCAGTAGGTTCACTCAGTAAAGAAAAGGAAAAAGACAAGAAAAGTGATGATGGAGACCAATCTCAATAAATCTTATTTGTGGCGAATTCCACTAAGTCCGTTTCAGTAATAAAACTGTATTGAATCGTAATATGAATTATTTTATAATAAACTTGCATTAAAATGTACTGGTAAAACCATGCTTATATATATAAAAAAAAATTGCTGCAAATCCTACTGAAGTATCCGATATGAATATTTTTTCAATCAGTTTGTAGTGATGATTTCGTTGCAAATATTTGTTTTGGCAACTTTATTAGCCCATTTTGTTAGTACTGTGCACAATAATATATGTCAATTCCGATCCATTATAAAATTTAGCCCTGCAGTTGTGCAAAGATTTGTTACTCCGGCTTGGTGCTGTCAAAACATTGCTTTCATTTATACCCTTCTGAATCACAAATTTCATCCAAATGACAAAAATTATTTAAATTACGGGCGATCGTTTATTTTAATGCTTTTACTTTAYAACTTCACAAAAAAATTTCATTATGTACTGAAAGCAGTTCTTCCAATTCGACGCTGAATTTATTTGCCACCTTTGTAATCCTTCAAGTTGAGCAACACCCACGCAGGTACAACAAGCATAGATACGCACATTCCACCACCCAAAATGATTTTTTCCTGAAACACATMAATTAGACATGTGAACATATATCACACATTTTTCGTCAAAGAGGTTTACGTAACCTGCTTTTATAGAGAGAATATACTTACGGCTGTGGAAATCTTATTTACTGGTGGTCCAGCAACAACAGATTGGCAACGTTGTTGCAATCCATTTCGGATAGCTGGAACCAAAAGACGAGCGGCACTGTTTTGGAACATTTTTTTTATTATTATCCACTAAAAATTTGGTGRCTGATTAACTTCTAGTCGAAATAGGAATCACCCACAGCCACACTCTGATCGATAAATTTTTGACAATCGTCTCTTCGGCTATTCAGCTGCGATTTAGCGACACCTACAGTCAATAACAGAAAACATACCATTATCAACATAGAAATCATATAGTTCAGCAGATTTAATTTTGCCAATAATGCAAAAAAAAGTATAAGAACGATAATTTGTTCAACTTATAGAAACCATACCATATTCAAAAATTAAATCAAAATATCCTCAAAAATAATAATTATATCGAAAATAGAATTTGCTTAAAGGTAAATGTGTTCTTCATCTTCACATATCATCAGTTATTGAACATACCATAAATTCACCTTCTATAGAACAGTGTATAGAAATCTATAGAAATTGTGATTTGSCCGGCCGGCTGTTACAACAGAAGTTAGTGAATTTGTTTTACTAATATGACTGCTTTTGAAGGTAAGCTTGTTGTGAACATATTTAAATGTAATAAAAATTATTAAATTTTTTATTGCAAAGAATTTGGTGTATTACCGGAAATCGCTAAGGCGATTGACGACATGGAGTGGACTCTACCCACAGATGTGCAGGCCGAAGCAATACCGCTCATTCTGGGAGGTGGTGATGTTTTGATGGCTGCTGAAACTGGATCCGGAAAAACCGGAGCTTTCTGTTTGCCAATTTTGCAAATTGTGTGGGAAACATTGCGCGATCTTGAAGAAGGGAAAGTTAGCAATTCTTCGGGAGCGGGTGGTAGTATTGCACCATGGACGATGTCGTTCTTCGATCGTGGTACAGCGCTTGCAGTGACACCAGATGGTTTGCGTTGTCAATCGCGTGAGTTTAAAGAATGGCACGGATGTCGGGCAACAACAGGAGTGCGTGGCAAGGGAAAATTTTACTTTGAAGCCATCGTCACAGACGAAGGTCTATGTCGCGTTGGTTGGTCTACGCAACAAGCTAATCTAGATCTTGGTACCTGCCGTAACGGTTATGGATTTGGGGGTACTGGAAAAAAATCCAATAATCGTCAATTTGATGACTACGGTGAAGCTTTTGGCAAAAACGATGTCATCGGTTGCTACATGGATTTACAACAAATGGAAATATCCTTTGCTAAAAATGGCAAACATCTTGGATCAGCATTTCGAATACCCGAAAATCAACGTAATGAAACATTTTACCCAGCTGTTGTATTGAAAAATGCGGAAATGCTATTCAATTTTGGGAAAACTGAATTTAAATATCCTCCAAAGCAAGGATTTATTGCTGTGTCTCTTGCAGCTGCAGGACAATTTAAGCCGAACCCGCTTGCTTGTCCTACAACCAATGCTGCCGCTAATAAACCTGCGCCTAACGCACCACAAGCAATTATTATTGAGCCAAGTCGTGAATTAGCAGAACAAACGTATAATCAAATAGAAAAATTTGGAGTCCATTTAAACAACCCAAAAGTGCGCTCACTCCTACTAATCGGTGGAGTTAAACTGGAGCAGCAAAAAAGTGCTTTACAGCAAGGTGTGCACATCGTAGTGGGTACACCCGGCCGACTCGAAGAGATGATAAGCAGTGGTTTTGTGCAATTAACACATTGCAGGTTTGTGCCTTTCTGAGATAATAAATGTTCATAGTAATCATTGAGAATATTACCTTATTTTGTTGTAGATTTTTTGTATTGGACGAAGCTGATGCTCTACTCAAACAAGGTTATACTGATTTGATTGATCGTTTACATAAACAAATTCCGAAAATGACATCCGATGGTCGACGCTTACAAATGGTTGTCTGCTCAGCTACRCTACATGCTTTTGAGGTGAAAAAAATGGCCGATCGTTTGATGCACTTCCCCACTTGGGTAGATCTTAAAGGTGAAGATGCAGTACCTGAAACCGTACATCACGTTGTTTGTATGGTTGACCCACAAAAGGATACATCCTGGTATTATATGCGACAACATATACGCACTGATGGTGTGCACAGTCGAGATAATGTAAATCCACAGAATCAYACACCAGAAACATGGTCAGAGGCAATTAAAATCCTTAAGGGCGAATATTGTATAGCTGCCATTGATCAGCATAAAATGGATAGAGCAATCATATTTTGCCGAACAAAACTAGATTGTGACAATTTGGAAAATTACTTTAAATCACGAGGTGGCCAACGTTATTCGTGTGTGTGTCTACATGGAGATCGAAGGCCTCAAGAACGCAAACAAAATTTGGAAATGTTTAAACGTGAACAAGTGAAATTTCTTATATGTACCGACGTGGCAGCCAGAGGCTTAGATATAACTGGTTTGCCATTCAGTACGATTACTTGCATTGCTTGCTTATGTATGTATTTTTAAAAAGTGATTATAAAATTTCTTTCAGTGATCAACGTTACTCTACCCGATGAAAAGTCAAATTATGTACACCGTATTGGTCGAGTGGGACGTGCAGAACGTATGGGTCTGGCAATTAGTTTAGTATCCTCCGTGCCTGAAAAGGTAATACATAAAATTATATATATATATATATATTTGTGTTATATAAATTTGATTATTTTATATAGGTTTGGTACCACGGAGAATGGTGTGCGACCAGGGGTCGAAATTGTCAAAATACAAATTTAACAGATGTSCGAGGTTGCTGCATTTGGTATAATGAAATGAATGTAAGAATATTCAGCATAAGTGCGTGCTAATAGCATATTAACATATCATTTCACATCTTTTAATTCAACAGTTATTAGCAGATATTGAGGACCATCTCAATGTGACGATTCAGCAAGTTGACAAATCTCTAGCTGTGCCCGTAAATGATTTCGATGGCAAAGTTGTGTATGGTAAAAAAAATATAAACACCGGTACTGGATATAAAGACCATGTTCAACAATTGGGGCCAGTTGTCCGAAAGTTAACAGATCTTGAATTACAGTCACAATCTTTATTCTTGAAACGTTTAAAATTCTAAGCATATATTAATCATGTGTACATGGAACGTTATTTAATCAACATTAGTGTTTGCATGAAGCGCTTATGATAACTTAAAAGCAATGCGAGCGTTATTACTATAGTCAAACACCTTCATGGAATTCATAAATTAAATATTAAATTAAAAAAGGCTTAACTACTAATTTGTATTATTAAGCTATCGATTTGTTTTCTTTTGTGTAAAAACATTACACTACAAGGCCTCCTATGATGTCTTTGCGTTGCCAGTAGTGTCTTCGTCTTCCACACCCTCTTCATCTTCTTCGTTGAACTGTGTACGCATCTGTTGCACCGATAATAATTGTTTACAAAGCTGATTACCAAAGGATTCCACATAACTTGGACTGATTTTGTCCAATAGAGCATATGGTGTCTCATAAAACACATCCTCCTCTTCATTTATTTCCTCTTTCCCGGGGTCAATTGAATTAAATGCACTACCAACCACGCGAAACCCAATGCTCGATACTTGTACGCAGTACTCTTGTCCCTCAATAGTGCGCACATTCAGGTACACTTTATTCACATTACTAGGTATTTGTTGGGATATTTCTATTAACGCAACATGTGGATTAACGTCTTTTATAATTGCAGCTGCTTCCTCCTCCCAGTTAATAACTTCTTCGTCATTATCATTATCAAATATTTCAGCAGGGATGACATTARGAGTAATACTCATATTTAAATATATTAAGTACAAAAAACTGTTTAGGAAATTTTATATATGTTCATGTACAATAGCGTTAGTAAGCATAAAACAAAAAATAAAGAATTTTTGAAATGTTCTTCAATTAACACTTATCCCAAATAGTTTATATACTCTATGTATTTTTACGTTCCTTTGAATGGAAATTAATTGCTAAAAATTATGTATGTATTTATATCCATGTCTAAAATTCCTAGTTTTGTGTGACGTGCTCAAACAGCTGACAATAAAGGTAATAGGTGGTAAATGTGGGCGCGGTGACATTTCTACTATTGCCAGTTTTAATTAAATGATTGAGTTTTGAAAAGTATGAAGGTTTGAAAATATGGCATTCCTTACATTGTATGGTCAATATTAAAAGGAAAATACAATACGACCTTTTGTTTTGATCACTAAAACATGATTAAAACTAATATATCGTTAAATAACCCTAATTGAAAAGGTGTTCGAATACTGCATTGATTCTATTGTAAATAAAACCATTCTAAATTGGTAAATATGTTCCAGACATCGCGGTTATCTGACCTGGCTTTTGTAGAATGTATGGAAGTAATCACAGTGGCACGTGCTCCTTCTACAAGTAAACATGGAAAATATTACAGCAGCACTAAATGAACTCTTGAGGGAAGCAAATGAGCTATGTATCGGAACTGAAGTTGTAATACTAGATAAAGTACCAGAAACGATTGTTTTCGCACGAGATTTCTATGCTAAAAACCAGCCAGTGGTGATAAGGAATGCAGTGAGACATTGGCCCGCGGTACAAAAGTGGAGCTCTGCTTACCTTAAGCAAGTGCTTGGTAAAAAACTGCTAGATGTGACTACAACACCTARTGGTTACGCGGACGGTTTAGCCAAACAAGATGGAACCGATTATTTCGTACTACCTCTTGAAGAAAAGATGTGTATGAGCGATTTCTTGCAAAAACTAGACGACCCTACTGGTCCCATACATTATATTCAAAAACAAAATTCTAATTTTACAACTGATTTTCCAGAGTTGGCTAATGACATCAATATTAAAGATTTAGACTTTGCGGAGAARTGTTTAAATAGTCCCCCATTGGTAAATTTTTGGATGGGTGATAAACGTGCAGTTACATCTATGCATAAAGACCCATTTGACAATTTGTACTGCGTCATATCAGGGTAYAAAGACTTTATTTTACTACCACCGCACCAAGTTGTAAATATTCCGCGTCAGCTTTATCCTGTAGGAAAATACCAACGACATGAATCGGGTCAATTTTATATTGAGCCTGTATTAAACGTTCAAAGTGACAATAATAAAAGCGAACCGTTACAAACAGAGTGGRTAAGTATTGATCCCCTAGCACCGGATTTCAGCAAATATCCGAAATTTGCAAATAGCCAACCATTGCAAGTACGTGTGAACGCCGGTGATATCTTGTTTTTACCCAATTTCTGGTTTCACCATGTACAACAAAGTCATAAATGCATAGCAGTGAAYTTTTGGTACGATATGGAGTTTGACAGCCGTTATTGTTTTTTCCGTATGCTGGAAAAACTTGTGGAAACCGAAATAAAWTAGATATTTATATTTAAAAGCTGCGAAATAAAATATTTTTGACCCAAAATTCGCATTATTTTTTTCTATTCTAATATCTTTTTATTAATTTTAAATTTAGTCTCATACACTTAAATATGTGAATCATTTTAAAACTATAATAGAGCGATTTCTAAATTACAATATATATGTATGTTGTATATTATACACCAAAAATGATTCAATATTAACACGTCCAAGTGGAAGGTAAGCTTGGAAGCGCCAGTTTCCTGTCTCATTTCTTATTTGTTAAGAAAAAAAAAAAACATATTTAAAAATTGTGTGAAATGACAGAATTTCAACGTCTATGTATTCTAATAAGTAAATCAATCTCACCTTTTTCGATTTATTATACCATTACAAAAACTTTTGAGAAAAAAATCCCAACTTCATTTCAAAAATTACCACAGTTACAAAAATAATAGCAAATGTAGTAATTTTGATTTTTCATTTTGTTTTGTTTTTTAAGTTACTTAAACGTAATACAAAAAAATATTTATTGTAATTATTAAAAAAAATAAAGATTTGCTGACGTTGTCCTTCCTTTCTTCGTTTTTCGATTAGATTTTTAATAGGTAAGAACACATTTCAACGCAATTTTGTAAACCTGTGAAAGACTACAATGGTACAGCAAATAAGGAAATGCACTTGCACCAAAGTAAGAATGTTCCGTTGCATTWTTTTTTATAAAATATCTATAACATGATTCGTATTGAAGGTGGTAATGTAAATGTTCTTCTTGCTGCTGTTCAGTTTATTTTTGAATTGATTTAAGTTATATATTTACAATTCATCCTTCTGGTGCTCATCGGGTTTTTCCTCCACCTCTTCTTCTGATTCACCACTCTAAAATTTTATAAAATTTTTTATATTAGTTATATATTATATAAAAAATAACATCTTCACAATTTTTACCTGTACAACATCACCACCAGCTTCCAGGAACTTCACGAATTCATCCAAAGTCCTGTCCAAATTGTAGTCGATAACTTTATTATCACCTTTACGGTACAATTTGATGGTGGGGAATGAAGATATTTTTGTGTGTTCCAACTCATTGGCAGTAGCATCGATTTTGGCAACAACAATTTTTTCATTGTTCTTGAATTTCTCACCAAGTTGGTCATAGATAGGAGCCAATTGTTTGCAGTGACCACACCATGGCGCATAGAATTCAACAAGCACATCTTTGCTCTTATCCAAAGCAACATCATCGAAGTTGCTTGCGACAAGCACTTTAACGGGGTTCTTATCCCAATCTTCAGGCACTTCCTGTGACAGTAAATGTTGCTTCAATTTGCCGTCCATGAATTTCTGCAAGAATTCTTTGATGGTACTGGCAGACAGGTCATTGCTTTCGGGTTTGTATTTGGCCATGTCTTCTTCCAAACGGATCAAACGAATTGTTGGTACTTCCTCCTTAGACATTCCGAAGAATTCAAAGATACGTTGGTGCTCTTCTTCATCGGAAGAAATAGTGACGAACAAAATGTCTTCGCGGTAGTCTTTGGCAATATCCTTTAATGGGTCAACATGCTTTTCGATATGTCCAGCTTCCTTTGAGACGAAGAAGAGGAGATGCGATTTGATTGATCCACCAAAAATCTTGGAAGCTGATTCGTGGTTGAATTCAACAATCAGGGGCAAGGATTGTACTTGTACGAATTTCTTAATATTCTCAACAGTGTGTTCGCCCTCGTATATGGCTTTCTTTTCATCGAATGGCTTGAAGAGTACAACTGCACCATCCTTAGCTTCATAGTGGGAAATAAGTTCATCTTCAGTTATAAGACCAAACACGAAAGTGTCGAGAGCATTTGCAACAGAGATGAAAGCCTTAGCTTCATCAGATTCCTGGCTCTTGAAGAAGCCAACAACTGCGATCTAGTTGAAAGAAATCATATATGTAATCAAAAWTTTTGCATTTGTTATCATGTTATTACAAATTGTGCGTTCGCTACCAGCAAACTTACCTCATTGTCCTTCAAGAATTTTTCGGCTTCTTCCACCGTCTTCAACTCCTTGGCTGGTGGGCCGGTCTTCTTGTTGACCCATGAAATGATATCAGCCGATTGACGGCCACCGCTGTATTCGACGGGGACACCATTGCGGAAGAACTTCAGTGTAGGATAACCACGTACTTGGAATTTTTCGGCCAAATTACCTTCTACAGTAGCATCGACCTTACCCAATTTGATGGGTGACTCCTTTTCGGCTAAGGCCTGTGCGGCTTTAGCATATTCGGGGGCAAGTGCTTTGCAGTGGCCGCACCATGGAGCGTCTAAAAATGAAATTACACAATCATTATACAAGTATTCTTATAGAAKATTATACAAAATGTGGAGGTTATTTTACTAGTTGATAGGGATTCCTTTATCAAAATTAAAAAAAAAAAACTATTTGCAGCATTTTACTTTGTTAGGTTATTATTTGTTATTTCTATCAAAATAATTGGAATAAATTAAAACGTCGTCCAAGTAATTATTTTAAAGCACCGTCTAGAAAGCATTTTTTATACCTATACATATCTATGCAAATTTGTGCACGAGCTCGAATTAAGGACACCATAAGGAGATAAGTTGATGCTGATTATAGCATTATTTAATTATTTACAGCGTGGGTAGATATGTCATTCAAATATACATTTCGTACGTCAGCGACATGATCACAGATGACTAAGTAGTACTTATTATTATTATACATGTAAGAATAGAGAGCTGACGTGGTACTACATAGATTTAAAATTTAAATAAATGGTTACATATATTTTGTATCTAAAATTGCCAATAACTTTTTTCTTGTCTAAAAAATTTCTGAAAAGAAGTTTGTTTGGAGCTAAAACATAAACTGTAGCTCGGCTTAAACATATAACAGCTTTTATAGGTCAATGAACTTGAAAGTATTTTTTGTGTGCGTTGAGCTTTTGATAATGCTACAAAAAAACAGTAAACAGTTGCTTAGACATATACCGGTYAAAGAAAATTGAGTACGCATAAATAATTGAAAAACAAAGACAAATTTAAAAGCTTCCAGTTTAGCGGTAAAATGTTAAAGTCTATGTAAAGRTGATGAAATCATTCATGCTTTATTAGCGATTTTCAGACATCTAGTCAAACAAACATAATGATGGTTAAAGCCGGCTTTTGCGGTTTACAATAAACCATAAAGAAATAGAATAAACAAATAAAATAGAAAATTAATTAACCTAACTTTTCCGATGTAACTATTTAATATCATCATTCAACTTCAATACTACACATTCATAGAAATTATTGAAATTAAAATGTTGTCAAAGAAATTAAATCATATTTCAATATAAATACATATGTATATATTTCGCAAGTATTTTCTCACGCTTATTGTTGAAATAGAATTAATAAATACATTTTTTTAACATAAAAATTATGCATTCTAACAAAATTCCTCTCCTTTCCGTCAGTTCACAAATTTCATTAAACATGATTGTCATTGCCACGTTGGACTTTCATAAATACTTATAGCAAGAGAGTGCAGAAAAAACAAATTGGGACTTATACGTGTATAAAAAAGAGGAGATGATATTGCGACAATGACACCTAGCAAAGTGATTATAACTGTATAATACTAAAACGTGTAGGAGATAAGCGCAAGCTGAATTAAGATTAGTACTAAAAAAACAGTAGAATCAATTACTGTCAGTTTTAACATGAAAATGAAGTGAACATATGGTTCAGCATCCAATATAATTAATAACAATACACGTCATCTTCAGTGTTTGCTGTTCATCTCTGCGGCAACCTGTTTTAGTCAACTGAGAATATTTGTGAAATACAATGCATTTCAATCATAATATAGGTGTTATATTCCTATTGGTTGTTAATAATCCATGAAGTATTTTGATGAAAAACAATAGTTTAAGCGTTGTCAGAAATACATTTTTAGCTTATATATAATATATATTATACATATACATATGTATATAATAATAAATATTCAGAAATATATATACATGGAATGTTGCAAAACTATCACCCCAATGATGGTTTTGCAATATTCGATGTAGATATATAATAATTTTGATATATTCAAAAAAATTTGTGATTYTGGACGTTCCAAAGAAATGTATAAAAATTACTAATTTAAACTAATAAATACAGCAAATAAATTTATTTAACACCGGTCAACCTACAGTAATGAAAAATAAGAAATATAAACAAGGCGGTTTTTAAATGACACGTCACTAGAATTTTTCATATTAAGGCATTATACTCTTCCCAATCACATATGGCATTGGAGTTAAAGAGCAAGCAATATGACAACGGATACAAAATCTGCGGTAAGCCGGTAGAAAGCGTGAAAGAGAAGACGCGACGAAGATTTAAATATGCTTCGTCAACAGTGCAACTTACAGAACTGTAGAGATACGAAGGACGATAAAGAATACAAATTTGAGTGCATAGAACATTGAAGAATAAAACAATAAGAAAAGGAATCCATGAAGTATTAAACTGTTCTCGTCGCAAAATGGCCAATGGGAAAAAGTATACTTTTCCATAAATCGTTTTGCACTTCCTGATATAGATATGTATATGTAGCAAGAGACATGGCGCTTATAATTATGCACACATCTCTGATTGTAACTTTTATAGCTTTATTACTTAATATTTGTAATCAAATTGGTTTATAATAACATTTAATCAAATTAAATCGAATCGTTTATAATGAAATCTTCAYTGATAATTAGTACTTACAGAATTCCACCAACACAAATTCATTATTTTTTATGATTTCATCGAAATTGTCTGTAGTCAGCACAAGTACTCCATCTTCCAATTTCACTTCCTCAGCGGCGTAAGCACCCGATGCAATAACTGCTACCAGTAGCAGCGAAGAAATTACGAACTTCATGTTTTATTATCTGTTTCTGATATCTCTGCTCTACTTAGTTAACTGAAGATATTTCCCGTTCCCGTCGAACAAAATCAACTTCTTAAGAAACTAAACAACTTCTCTCGACAGCTAAATGTAAAATGAAATGAACGACAAAATTTTCACTAAAAGCAAATGTTGATGACGATTATGCCGACGGGAAGAAAAATGGAGACTTCGACTTGCAGTGTTCCCGATATGTATGTATATCTCTAGTGTTGCCAATAATACGGAATTAAGTGGTAGTTATTTTTATTATACTATGAGTATTGCACTATTTATATACACTTTAAGGCGCAAACATAATTTTTAAATACACTCATATATTATTCATATTATATATTTTATGAATATAAAACAATGAAACCTTATTTATTTAAATATTATTGAATACCACACTGCGTCTTTTGAGTTTGTACACGTCTCCTCTTTTGGTTGGTCAGCATTACAGTGTTGACAAATGCTTTATATATTATTGTTGTAAGCAAGCACTGAAATTGTTAGCAGCTGCGTAATTTGCATTTAAAAAATCTACAATGAGGATATGCAAACGCGGAAGCGGATGTTGTTTGCAAATAAAAAATTAATAAAATCATTTGGAGTAATCATTTATTCGTGTAAAAGCGTATACCCAGCCATGTAAGTGCGTATGTATATTATTGTTATAGCAATTGTTTCAATCTTTTATTTGGCAAAAGTTCATAACCTATAATTGTATCCGGGCATTGCACCGAATTGACACAATTGAAATTGTTTCTTATTTGCACAGTTGTTTCGTATTTATTATACAACTTTTTATTATAATATATCAGGTGAGGAATATATAAATACAAATAATTAGAGTTGACAGTCCTTGGCTGGATAAAAATCCGGGTCCGTTCCGGTTTTCGTAGACTCGACTGTCGTGGGAACGGTATTCTTATATGTAATACTTGCTGGTGAGAGGCTTAAGTGTACGACTTAAATGTTTTCAAACTTATATATGCGTTTAGAGATTCTAAGATCTTTGCTTATAGATTTGTGATTTTGCAATTTATTTATAGTCTGAACTGGGCATATTGAGTTTGCCACAAAGTTTATACCACCTAGAAGGAAACGTCGTCGTATCGCTAGTCTCTGATGATTTGAACTGATCGATCAAAATCAAGATCTAGTAGGGAAAACTCTTTTATTTGACTAAATATTTTCCCGAAATTTAGCAGATCAGACCAGCCGAGGTAACCACCATATCAATTAACCCTAATGAATTGTCAGTAACATTAAGTATTCGTGCCAACTAGATTTTAAAATTCGACTATGTTATTTTTGTGGAAGATAGTAAACATAATTTAAATGTACTTGTGTAGTAATACAAACCTGTCTTGTTAGTAGGGCAATTTAAGAAAAAGAAATATATTTTTTTTTCGTTATTTAGGTATTTTATTGTTGAATTTATAATTAAAACTTTCGGTTATTGACCCTTCACAGAAGTCATTCATTAATAACTCATTTCTAAAACATTTTCACTCTCATACATTCTTAATGTAATGTAATTATATATATAATATACTTATTAACCTATATTAACGCATGCATGTATGCGCAATCAAATGCATACACACTCGTATATATTTATTTGTTTTTAAGATAATTTAATCTCAAATAAACTTTTTCAAGTTGAATTCTTATGGTCACTATATTATATGCTAGAAATTACACATATACTCGTATGAGTGTTATTTACGGTGCGCTCGTCTTTTTTACTTTTAAGAACTGAATAGTACAATTAGGTATTCCGCTAAGTATGGCTTATTATAGTATGCTTGTATAATATTGTGTATCAATAATGTGTATTTATTATACATACATATATGTATGTTTATTGGATATATCAATGTTTATTTGTGTTAGGTTTTGCTGTATTATTTGTTTTACATGTAAATATCTTATCACAGAACCAAATGACAGGTCTTTTTTTAAATTATAGAAAATTTTCAATCGCTGTATTGAATGACGTTTTCCAATATTTTACTTAAAGCTATGCTTACAAACATTATTAATGTCTAAATAGAAATTCTAGTTAATTTTTTGCTTGTAATATTTCGTGATTTTTATAAATTTGGCAAATATCAATTTCATGAAGAGAGAGATTTCCACCAAGATATCCCCTTTGAGCATTATTTTGTATATATAMATATAATGTACATAAAAATCTACACAAATATTACAATTGATAAAAATATTCCGTTGGATGTTATTCAATTCAAAATTTTTTGTATATCTGATAATTGAATTAAATTCAGCTTTGAGCTTATAATATGCACAGAAGTACATAATTCCTTCCAGAAACTCATCACTTTACTAATAATTTTTAATACAATTTTTATATTGAATATATTGATATATGTATGCATTATTTACACTACGTGAGCATTCGTATATATATATTTATGTATATTATTATAGAATATTATAGATTATTGTGTAGATGTTTAGTTTGAATAAAAAAAATCTATATAAAAATATTATATTGAGCATACATAAAATATGTAGATTTTTAGAGAGTTTGTAGTTAGAGAGAGAGAGATGATGTGAGCAGCTTAACCGGCTTCGACATATGTATATACATATGTTTAAGATGTTTAGATAAAATGTTATGTTGTATTTGGAAAAGAGGTATGACACGCATTAATAACTGTAATTTAATAACAAATATTGATAGTGTTATTAAACGAAATCGATACCTTTCATAACATACAGGGTTTGTCCGGAAAATAATRGGACTAAGTCGATTTAAACAATTTATTAAACCAATCGTTAGAATTCTTTCTGCGTCGATGCATAGCTGCCAAGCGCAGATGCATAGCGCGRTATCCAAGCATGGAAGGCGTCACGGAAGGTATTCTCTGGAATAGCATACTCCTTGGATCCCCTCTGAAGTCTCAAAATGCTTGCYCTTCATTGGTCTTTTCAAGCAAGGAAACAAAAAACATCTGGTAGGACGACTGCAGAACCTTTGCGATGCTGGCCTTGGTTAGGTAGCTGTTCACAAGAAAGGCGGTTTGAGCCGGGGCGTTGTCGTGCTGCAACTTCCAATCGGATGCGATGTCTTGTTGGACCCGATTGATCYTTCGTTTGAGTCTCTTGAAGACTTCCCCGTAAAACTTGGCGTTGACGGTTTGTCCAGGAGGAAAAAATTTATGGTGGACAATGAGCATCGTTTTCATTTTGGATTTACTCATTCTTACGGTCTTCATCAGCGACATCTTTCCGGCTCGGCAAAAAGGCGCGGTGAAGCCGAAACACACCACTTCTTGCTAAAGCAATATCTGGGTAAGCCTGCTTGATCATCAAAGCAAAAAAATCAAACGTCTCTATCACAGATTTACCGAGTTTGACACAGAATTTAATTGCGTGCATCTGCTCTAACGAACGCTGCATTTTCGGCTTACACCACTCACAGAAACACGTCGCGSGAAAATTTTTGTCCTCTCTCCAGGTGCCTGGAGACAACTGACCATCCGCTCGTTCGTTAGCTAGGAATGCCCTCCATCGCATCCAGTCGGTGCACGTACGCTCCGAAGTAYAGTCGCGGCGGAAGAAAATCAGTCCTCTTACTTTCCGGACAAACCCTGTATATCCTGCTAATCAGAAGTAAGACATGTTATTGTGAATTATTTACGATTTTTATATGAGAAAATGAGGATGCGAATTTCAATTATGTAACAATAATGCTGATTATGTTTTTTGGCCGTAAACACATGTACCTCTCTACTACATTCCCATATATTATTACTATGCATTTTATAGATTTAGATAAGTATTTTATCATAGGACGGCGGCGGTGATTCGTCATCTATCGGTACGTCTTTGCCCTTTCCATTGCTCTCTGTCTCAGGAAAGTATATTGCTATATGATATGGTGGTGGACCGGCACTTGCCGAATCCTCAATCAATTGCAACTGGCCACACAAAGGTGCGCCATGTATATCATCCGAACCAACTAATTCACTACTACCATCAGCATTCACGATATCACGTCTGCCGTATGGTGGACGCGTATAATGTATAGCGCTTTCTGCATCAGCATGCTGTTGCGCGCCCAACACTGYATTGCGTCCGCTTGGCAATAGTCCTTTTGGTACGCGACACAGTGAAACGGTGCAGGCGGCCAAGAAGAAAGTTGCAGAGAAAGCACAAAATATCAATACTTCCAAACCGGTACCCTGATGGTCGAAATAAAATTTTGCGCCCGCCACAAAGACGGAAGCCAGCACAAGCGACGCACACATGCCACATTTAAGGTGTGAAGGTAGCAGCTGAGCATCTCCACCGTTCGCGTCTACTGTCATATTGCTRGTACGCATATTTAAAGCCGCCGAACTGTAGCGATGCGCTGTGTTAGCTACCGCATAGCTCGCTGTATTCGTGGTATTAGTGGAAATGGGCGCGGAACCGCCCATTATAGACTCATTCGACTGAGCGCACGCTGCCGCAGAGTGACTAAAAAATAAATGAAGRTTGTGAAGTGATAAATTGATTAATTTTCAAATTGCAGTGACTACCTGTAACCATGTTGCTGTCGATATGCCATTGGGTCCATGTGCTGCGAATGAGCAGGACCAATTATTGTTCTTGCGCCACTGTTATTGCCATTACGATATGCATGTGTCGGCGGATTTGTGTTAGCGTGTGTTGGCCCATTACAAGTCCTGCCCGAATATTGATAGTGTCGTACGGACATATTGCCGAACTGTGGATGATGATAGCTGCGCATATCATAGCATTGATTAAGATGTTGCTGATACAGCGGTGTATGCGGTGTGCCTGCGGTGCTTTGTAGTAGTGCGCCTGCGCGTTGGTTAAAATCTTGCGCTGCTGGTGTAATGCCGCGCGCATCGCTGCCCGTGGCCGTGGACGTAGAAGTGCTGGCGTTATTGTTATTCATTAAATTGTTGTTGGAAGACGCATTATGAGTCTGCACTGAAGGGCTGCCATGCTGATGCGTCTGCTGGTATGTGTACTGGTGGGGATTGTTATTAAGAGTCGCCGATGTAGTCGATTGCATTGCGGCGCCTGAGGCTGTTGCATTGGCGGTGCTAATATTACCTGTATAATTGCTATTATTGCTGCTGTGCGTATTTGATTGTTGGCAATTGTTGCCGCTGTTGWAATTATTATTGTTATTGGCATACTGTTGTTGCTGCTGCAGTTGATGATGGTGTTGCAATTGCGGCTGCTGATATTGATGGCTRCGACTGCTGCTGCTGCTGGCTGCAGTGTTGTGATGACAGTCTGGCAGTACGTGGCTTCTACTGCTCGCTTTATTGCCACTACCTCCGCTTATTCGACGCGGTGGATGGCCAAAACTGAGACCCACACCGGATCCGCCGGCACCGGAGAGTGAAGCTGCAACTCGCGATCTCCCAAAACCACATTGCTGTGAGCGTTTGTCTATCCAGAAGTGCATTTYCGTCGTATAACTGTAGAAAATTAAGTGGAAGAATTATGCTTTTAGTACAAACGGTGTTAAATTCAGACTAAGCATGAGTCACGTGAAGATCAGTGAAAACCATGAAAAATCGTTTCCTTCAGCTGCACTGAATCTATAAGCCTAACCTAACACTTAACATCCTTCATAGCTGATTTCTTGATATACATATTATTACATATACGGAGTACTTTGTTTAGCTACCACAATAACACGCGAATGAAAATCATGTAAAAAATATATATTTTTATTTATATTTTCCAGTTTCAATACTGGAACTAATTTAATTAGTTCACGACTTCCTTCAAATGACACGTTTCTATTCACTTTACCAACAATCCACCAGCATTCCAATGCTTTCTTAGATAACTTATAACAGAGTACTTTTCAACACAAGAAACAATTGAAGATCTACACTCATGAAGACGAACAAAGGGCCTACGTCTATTAACTACTAAAGTTTTGTAGCTGTTAAACGCTTTGTCTGCGTCTATTGGCATCTAAGCGCCGACGACCGTACACAAAGCAAAAGCTCGCCAGTAAGTAGATAGGAAGTCATTAACTGGTGACTTAACCGACTACGCAGTATCAACCGTTCGTGGATACCTTTGAAAAGGCCGTCGCACGGCTAAAACCAAAAAGAATTAAAGAAGAAAGTCAACAATCGCGGACATTTCCCAACTCTGCAACAACAACAGCAACTGCCAAATGTCAACTGCAACACAAGAACACAAGGTCAATGAGCAGCAGCAAGGAGTGCTTGGCTTAAATGATTAGGTGTTCGCCACTGTCGATTGTTTGGGCATTGTYAGTAGGTGCTGCGCATTATTGGTTGCTCGTGAGCTTCAGCGTCAGACTATGCGCAAACATTTATGTATGTACTGTGCGGTATACCGCACGCAATGTCTTATACATAAACTCCATCACATTCACGTATTTTTAGCTTTTTCATCAGGGGCATGGCGTACAAAGRAAGCGTTTGTCTAGTTTGAAACAACAAAGAAAGCGCGCGTACATAGCAGAGGTGGCCAACCTCATGTTCAATGAACCATTCGGCTTAAATGAAAAAAGACGTGCTCCTGATTTTAGGGGATGTTGTGGTCAAAGCTACACGAATTTATGACCGTGGGAATGACTTCAATGATTTTAAGGGCCAAGCGTACGATATTCGCCGTAAAGTGTATTTGTGTGTGTAATTACAGTGGTAACAAAATTTTGAGTTATCATGGAAAATTACGAGTGGGAGGCGCTATTTAGACTTTAGTATATGCGTATGACTAGTTTACTATTGCAATTGTGTTGGSAATTTTATTGTGCCTTCGTTTAGACAGCTGGTGCTTTGACTATAATGGTGAAATTATGCAATAACAAACAATTAATCCGATTAAAAATTTTAAATCGCAAATATTTATTTTATGTATGAGTGCTAACAGCTGGAGAAAACTCAAGCGTGACCTTTTAATACATCTTCAGCAAATAGATTTGCATATTTGTTRGGAGAGTTTTGAAAAAAATTAAAATATTTTAAGAGATTATGAATTTGAAAATTGCATTTTAAAGTAAAAACAAAACTAAAAACCAGTAAAAAAAGTTGTGTAGGCACAGTTCGCTATAGAATAGAATATTGCTTACTTTTGTTATRTGATAACGTAGAATGACCTAGGAACGACCTTTTTCTATCAAAATATTAATGAAGCTATTTTTTATCGGAATCTTTCTTTGCTCTGAGCCCCCACATTTTACGAGAGGAGCTGCGGCAAGAGGAGGAAGTGGCCAGTAGAAGGTGCCACTGGTAACAAGTGCTTTGGCTTCGACAGGGATACAAAACGGTTCAATAAATCGCTCTTTCCAGATTTTATATGTATGGATCACTGCAGTCTGCGGTCTCATCTGCACAATTTATGGTAGTGCAAATCGTAAGATTTGTGTCGCTTGTGCTACTAATATGCAGAGACACYAGACCACATGCTGCTGCATTGCCCCGCAATCGCATGAAGAAAGAGTCCTACTATCGCGTAATTAAATTCGGTGAGAGAATACATTACAACCATTAAACCAGGAGCCTTTTGATTTGACAGTGCATTCTAATTTGCCCTAAACATTAAATATTTATTGCATATTTATTGGCGAAACTTTATACACAACACTGAGCTTTTATTGTGCAATATAATTGTATGGGTATTTAAATTTTCCTTACACTAAACTTAAGTAAATTAATTTATATAGTTGATTTAGTAACAAATTAATGCATTTTTTTTTTCTTCTTTATGTTTTAGGCTTATAGGATAATCGGCATGAATTATCTGACAACTCCTTTTCGCACTTCGCCTCGCTTCAAAATGATTGTTTGTTACTTTAACTGTGAATCATTACCGCCATATCGCCACCCTAGTGCAAATACAACTACAGTATATTGAAGAATCGCTTACAAACACAAGTAAATGTTTGAAATAACTTTCGCCGCTAGCATAAAACAACAAAAAATGAAGTATAAAGTGTGAGTAAGTGCTTGGAGCCACGCGAGCCACAAATAAAGAGCATTGTAAAAGCTTTGACTGCAAAACACGCATACGCACATATGTATTTGGGTATGTACATATATATGAATGTATTAAAGAATGTTGCTTGTGCATAAGAATCTATATAAAATTATATATGACTGTCTCAAAGCTTACAAAAGCAAGTACATAACGTCTATAAAAATTCGTTCGGTAGACAATTGCGTACACATGTAATATACAAGCCTTCTTGCTGTATGCATGTAACATATGTACGTATGCATTACTTTATATTTTTATGTGTGAACCTAAGAGCCAACAAAGCATGCAGTAATTCACCGTTCCAACAAATCGTGCGACATAAGCTGCAGCAAGTGAGTAGCAGTTTAATTGTACAAAGAAACAGACGTCGTTATCTGCCACGCTGGCATATGCGATTGTAGATGCAAAGCAAAAAAAAAATAATAACAACAATCATTGCCATTGAATTATCAGTCAGCACAGCAAACAGACGCTGTGGGATCCTAGTGCGAAATGAGTGTTAGCACGTGGATGTGTGTGCATATGCTAAGAGTCAAAGCAATTAGTATTTTGATGTTTGGGTACTTGGTAGCGTCAACTGCTGTTGAGCAGTAGTCCTGCTGCGCGTTTTTACGTGTGGTGGGCGTATGTGTGGGTTTGCGGCGTTTAAGTGTTGCAATGTACTCTCGCACATGTGATTTTCGCTTAAAGGAAAGAAATATAAAATAATAAGAAAAAATTTATTTCCATGCACATGTTGTGTCTATGTATGTGGGTAGTAAAAAGCTGTTGACAACGTTGGCCACCATTTTATGCTGTTCTTGTACTATTTACACTTGTTTCATGTATTTTACGCTACATTGTTAATTTTTATGCTAAGGCGCAWATTTCGCGTAATTAGTTGCGGTATAAATAAATGGCAACTTCAGATTAAAGTTTAGCTTAATGTGTCAAAATATCATTTAAGTTTTAGTTTTTTTATGGTAATCTACGGCAAAGTTCTTGGAAATTTGAAAAGTTTTTAATATCTTAATTAGTGATATAGGTGTAAATGATTGAATACTAAATATCAACTAAATTTTTTCATATTTTCAAAGATTAACTTTTCATCAATATGTCCTTAAGTCAATTTATTAACATTTTAATTCTAAAATTTTCGGAAATATGCATGTATGTAAGTAGATAATTTTGTGACACCCTCGGTGTAATTTTGCTCGATTTTTTTTGATTAAGAAAAATTAAAAATTCTAAGAAATGTATTATTTTTTTCGGAAAATCACAATTAAATAAAAAAATATATATATACATAACTAATTTTTAGTAAGTAGGATAACTTATTAATATGTACATAGGTCTAGAAAAGTATTTCATTTTTAAATGTAAGGAATTAACCTGATTAAAAAGTCTATAAAATTAATTCAATTTGCTCTTTGAAATCTTAAAAGTACAACGCATATTTATTAGGGTGAACTAAAAAATCGAATATGGAATTTGTGGACTAAAATGAACGTGAGCATGCAATTTTTTTCGTATAAATAACACGTAAAAATTTATTATAAAAAAACTGTATTTTAATTGAGTTTAGATTTTATTTTTTTAAGTATTGGGATTTTTAGTTAGTTACTTATTTTTTTCACTTTTCAAAGCTTTTAAATATACGAATTTTTGAATTGAAGTATATCACTTTTGGATAGATTTTGTCTAATTATCCAATTATCAAGCCTACTGATACGGTGTTTTGGGATATAAAAAAGTAAGTTTACACCAAATTTCGTGAAAAAAAAAAAATTTTTGCACAAGATAAACTTGGTTATTTGAATTTTCGATATAAATTTTGAGGTTATATGCAAAAAGTTTATATACAAAAGTTATAGATCTTTTCATTAACTACTACATTGTCGTATAACTTTTTTCTCTAGGACTTGTACTTTTGCTGCAAATCGAAAAAACCGTTTTAACACTTGAAAATTCAGCCACGCCTTCATTTTCCAACCTGAAATCGCCCGTAAGTTAGTTTTTTTATGTTTGTTATTTCATCTTTCGCTTCCGATGGTACTACTACCGACTAATTTGGGACTAGTTTTGCTTGACTAACCCTAATGTATGTACATGTATACATATACGTAAATGACTTGTTTTGCCACGTGTACGCGTATCGCGCCATCCGCTGCGAAACTGCAACATCTCAGTAATAGGAAAATGTAATTAATTTGCGACTGCATGCCAAAGCAAAAGAGAAAGCACCAAAATGCTACTTTGCAAACGCATTTTGCTGCACTTGTCTTCGCTGCACTGTTATATTACAAATTTTGTGGATGCTTGCACAACTAGATGTAACAAAAGCAGATAACGCACCTTTATTTACACATGTAAATATATACGTACATACATATGTAAATACATCTTTTACATATGTAAGTCATGCCCACATAACATTAATTCTTGTTTGAGATAATTTTTCAGTTGCAAACTGTCACATTTAGATTGCTGTGCTGTGCTTGCACTTTTGTATGTGTGTTTGTAATTGAAGTACTTGTTTAGAGRGAGTGATTGCGGTGCAAAAGTCAATAATTAAAATGCCTTCAAGTGCACAGCACAAAGGTAGAGCATAAAAATCTGTGTATAAGTTTTATGCATAGTTTTTGGTTTGCAGTTAGAACTGCTGTGGTAAACACAAGCAAAGGTAACCAGTTGATAACCTAGGTGGGTGAGTGGTTGCCGTCGTGCGGTTGCTCGGCTATGTGGTACTTCAAGTGGTTTTATAGGTCGTGCATGTGGCTCAAGTGCAAGTGCTCGGCATAGAGTTATCAACGACCTGAACCGCACAATGCCGTGCAATCACAACGCCAACAACAATATACGTGTATAAGTATAAGCATGTATAACAGGGGTATACGATAGGCAACTTTTTGCCATAACTTTRTGTGGGTACATAATCAAAAGAGCAAGCATATTCAAATATGCATATACACATATATATATAAATATACGTGTATACATAATTCCGTGCATTCATTTAGTGCATTAAGGTTATATCATTGTAGTTGTAATTAAAGCATGGCGKTTTAATGTTGTCGGCGCAGGAAACGCGCATCATACTTGCCACTATTYTATTACAAAAGTCAACTTTGTCATTGCCATTGACAATGTTAATGATTATTAAGACAATACTTGAATTGAAATCATGTCAAAGTTGATTCAGCATTAAATGCTGAATCGTATRTGATATTTTGAAAAGTTGTCGAAAATTATGGAAAATTAAACAGACAAAAATAGTATTGCAAAAAATAAGATAAGTGAAGATATGATGAAATGTAACTATTTAATTCACTTCGGTTTTCAAACTAATTTATTCATTAGTATAAATATAAAAAAAAAAATAAGTTGAAGCTTGATAAGAAATACGAAAAGACTTTTTCGACTAGCCAATATTAGTGCTATAATTAAAAGCTAACAAATTATTTTAAAATAATATATATGGAGTTTATAACTAATATCATTGTACACTTCTAACAGTAAGATTTTCTAGGCAAGCAAGCAAGCAACTTCCCCTCGATGAATATTCATTTCCATCACTCATACGCACTGTATTTCGCTAGTTTTACTACAATATAACATTGTTGAGTATTAAGTTGTTTTATGTAAAATTGTTTGAAAATTTTTTACATGTATTGCATTTACAACATAAATGGTTGAAAACCACAAGAAACTCTGTTGTAATTATCGTGATTATAATCGGCCAGTTTATATGGCAGGTATATGTTATAGCACGACGATCTAAACAAAATGTTCGGATATTGTAGAGTTGAGTTATTGTTCATACGTACGTACGTACCAAACTGGGTGAAGATATCTTATAAAATATAGAATTTTCCCATACAAGGACTTGATTTTGATCGATCAGTTTATAGGGCAGCTATATGCTGTAGTGGAGCGATCTAAAAAATATATTCGGAGATTGTAGCGTTACCTTTAAAAATAATGTACGCCAAATTTCGTGATGATATCTTGTCAAATAAACAACTTGTACATACAAGAACCTGATTTTTATCGGTYAGTTTGTATGACAGCTCTATGCTATAGTGGTTCGAYATCGATGATTCCGACTAATAAGCAGTACCTTGAGGAAATGAACATGTGCGAAATTTCAAAAAKAAATCTCAAAACTTCGCGTCTAAACAGACAGATGGGCAAAAGGGTAATCGCACTTGGCTAAATCGTCTCAGCGCGTTACGCTGATGATTTGTACGGTCTTTTCATTTTGTTTTGGGTCTTACAAACTTCGTGGTAGACTTAAGGTACCCTGTTCAGGTTATAAAAAATCATAAAGTTTTATTTTCTACTCTTATAATAGCATTCTATGTTTTCTAATAAAAAAAAAGACAAATCCTCATTAAAATATGTTATGCACTATATTTTTTCAGCAACGCATGTTTTTTAAAGTGGCAAGTATTTWGTTTTCTTTCAAATACTTACTTTGCTATCAATTGCACTCACGACTTCTACTTTCGCCTGCAGCACGCTTTCAATTAGTCAGTTGTTTTGTCTTTTACTTTGCTTTGTTTTGGCAACTTTTCGTTTCGTCTTCTGTGTAGTATGTATGTATGTATGTCTGGTGGACGCAAATACGCGAAAATTGTACACAAATAAAAATCTGTTTATATGTTTTGTTTGCTTATTTTTTAACACTATTTTGAACACATAGGGTGCTGCTGCTTGTCACCTTTTCTAACTAGAATGCATGTGCGATGTGCGTGCGTGCGTATGTGGATTGTCCCGACGAGTCCTTGAAAATTTCCCTCGGCTTTTACCTACTTGCACTCAATTCTTACCAACTTCGCAATACATTTTCACACACTTCTAATTGTGAAATGCAGCATTTTTTGTTATTCGATTGTCACGTTTTCGCGTTTTGCTTAAGTAATATAATTTCGGAATAACTTCTTTTAATATTTAACCTCATATGGCAGTCTAGCAATGATTTCTTTTCATACAAATTTTTTTCCTTGTATATTTATATATTTGGTTAGCTATATTTTACGCGAGTCAATTTTATACATTGACGGAGT